ATAGACGGAATCTTCACTATTCCCGTCGCCATTATTGGCTTTTTAGTGTTCCCGGGGATTCCGGATTCTCCACGACCCTTCTTCCTGTCAGAAGATGATATCACCTTGGCCAAGGACCGGGCGCGAAGAGCGAACATCCGTCGTCCGGGAAGGATGACACTTGATGTCTTCAAACGCACACTTAAGCGCTGGCATATCTGGGTCTTCATCCTTTGTTATGCGTAAGACAGACTTGATTTTAATCTTGAGAAAAAGCTAACCCATTGTGTCATAGGTGCATGATTATATCTTCTTATCCTACCTCTTATATGAACCTTTGGCTAGAGGCAGAAGGCTACTCAGTGCCACAGGTCAACAAGCTGCCGACAGTGACCTACGCGATCAATATCGTTGCTTCGTGGTTAGGGACCACGCTTGCTGCAATTTATCCGTCATGGCTTATTTACACTATTGCATCCACATGCTGTTTATTCTCTTCGCTGTGTATGATTATTTGGAACATACCAAAGGCCTTGAAGTAAGTGTAGTTCTCGCATGCGTATATTGTCCTGCTGACAGGATTATAGGTTTGTCGCATGGTACTTCTTTGGCGCGGCCGGGTGCACAAGTCCTATCCTATATTCGACAGTTAATACGATTGTAAAGGATGATTCAGAAGAACGGGCGCTCATCATGGTACCTCAATAGACTATCTGGATAGCAGACAGAACAGAACACTAATTATTGCCAGGGCTCGATGATGACTTTCGGCTATTCCTTTCAAATATGGGTTCCATTGCTTCTTTTTCCTACTGCTGGTCCGGACGGTGCTCCGCGGTGGCGAAAGGGGTGGCCCGCCGCATTCGCTTTTTTCTTTTTACTGTGGGCGGGGTTTATTGCAGCAACATTGATATATAGAAGGTAAATCAAGTATACCCAGTTTCCCACTATGTTTTCTAACGCAAGATACAGAGAGCAGAAAGGAAAAGAGGTACTATATAGTGGTCCCGAAACAGAAAGTGGAACGGAGGATGGCGAACCGATTGTGGTGGAGGTCGCTTCCAGTGCTAAAGACAGAACTGGATGTTCATAGGTAGAATCGGCGTCAGTCATGCGAAAATTGAGACAGTTAGAGTGAAGGAATTTGGACTTCTCAGGACATTTGCGGCGAAATATCAAAGTTTGACGAGGATGAAAGGACATGGTTAGCTCTCCGGACAAGGGTACATATTGCGCCAGTACCAGCGCCATATGTACTCCTCCACTATGGCAATGTCCCTGGCCTCCTCAAACGCGGCATCTCTACGCAAAATATCTTCAGGATTTAATTCAGACGCTGAAGCCAACGCAACCTCCGCGGCGCTGCCTGCGGCCCTTGCAGCCTTCTCAACCATAGATTTGACCCGAGCAAAGGGAATCCCTTCCTCATTAAAGTGCCCCAGCACGCCTTTCACTATGTCCAGCTTCCCTTTCGTTGCTACCTTCACGAATAGATGTTCACCAGACTGGTCGACACCAAACGGATCGGCACCTTTCTGCAACAGAAACCTAACATCCTCCTCTGAGCAATACGTGTGGCCATATATGCCACTGGAGATATAGGGCATATCTGTTTCTGGATATCGTAAATTGATATCCGCTCCGTACATCAGCAAAAGGTCAACAACTTCCTCTCTAGGGTCTCGGCTCCAATAGTTTCTTATTGCGCTGATCAGAAGCCCGTCTGGGACGTTGGGATCAAATCCTGCTTCAAGAAATTCCTTTATAATTGTAGTGTCACCTTTCGCTACAGCTACCTCAAATGCCAACTGATGGTCGTCGTTTCCCACATCTAGTTTGACGTCGAGATGCTGCCGAACTAGGTGGAATATCTCTACACCCGCGCGGACGGCTCTGCTCATGGTTCTTCGCACTGGTACCTTTGGACCAAACAAGCCTGTAGCCACCCAAGGTTGATCCGCTTCAACGAGATTCCTGCTGACTAGAAGCTGGACGATATCATACCGTGCCTGCGGCGTTAATCGTGGTGCATATCGAGTGGTTGCTTTTTCGAAGGCAGTCTTGCAATTCTTTGGGAACGGGTTGGCTCCTCTATCGAGCAGTAGCTCGACAATTTTCGTGTATCCTTCTTCGATTGCATTATAGAGAGGTGGTCCGCGTCCTTCGTTCCGCTTCCAAAATGCTGAATCGTCAGGATCTGCACCACGGTCAAGTGCCAGTCTGACAACTTCGAGATGGCCTCCTATAACCGCCTCTGCCATACACGAAGTCACAATATCTTGCCAAATTTCTGGCGTAATATGTGGGTGTGTGTGTATGCTTTCAAGGTCTAGCAACCGATTTAGCAGACCTATATTGCCACCACGTGCCGCACCAGCAGCGAGGCGCATAATCGCAGAGATATTTCTTTCATTAATGATGTTATCAACATCTATCTTGCGAAGCAAGTAACCTGCTTCTTCAGGGAACGTGACTGACAAGCGACCGACGTGGTACAAAACGTCACCCGTTAAGTACATGTTAGAAGGACGGTCCCGGCAATGAGTCAACCCATTATACGCCATATTGAACTCAGCACCGTGGTCCAAAAGAAACTTGACCAGTGGCATATCATTTCTCTTCAGGGCCTCGATTACCATATTGCCAGAATGGTTCTCAGGAGCAGAAAAGTAGTCCTGTGGTATGTCGGGCCCCACAAACATACGTAAAATAGGCAGGTTATTACCACCAGCGATCTCGAATGCCGACCTGTCCCAGTACTTTTGGAAGTTCGGTGTTCGGGGATTGCAACCATGTTCCAGTAGCAGTTTCACTATTCCATAGTGACCCCGACTTGTGGCGTGAGATAGAGGCTGCACATAGCTTTGATGTTCCGCGGTGTATTCCAACTCTGTTCCGTGCTCAATCAGTACTCGGACGACTTCTTCATGGCCGTTCGATATTGCGGACAGAAGAGGAGTGTTGTCGTAACTAAGGTTATGCCGGACTTTTTTCGCGTTTGGGTCGACACCGAGCTCTATGAACATACGAACTAGGTCCGCATATCCCCTTCTCGCCGCAACCTGGATGGGCTCACCGTGACAACATGGCCTAGGATGGAAGGTTGGGGAGATTCCAGCTCGTAAAATCCTGCGTACACAATCCGTATTGCCGTTGAATGTTGCATTTCGCAACGCACCGCTTTCGTCGGGGTAGATGTGGCAATTATCAAAGATATTTCGAATGGCCTGGTCGATCGACTTGCTAGTAAGATTGTAAAGCCGACGACTAGTCTGCGAAAGCGCTGTCAAATCGCGGTTGTAATCTATGTAGCTTATTATTTCTAGCAGGGTTTCAGTGGGGAGTTTGTTGAGATTGGCCATGGTGCTTGGTGAGTGCAACTAATCAATGCTGTAGGTTAAGAGACCAGCCCGTTGATGATTGATTCACTCAGATGGCTTGCGACGCCTGAATCTCCTGTCTGGATTGTACATATGCGTCTGCATGTTGGGGCTATATATGCTTACTGATGTGTTCTTATTTCTTTCATGGCTGCATATGAATGAAGAGGTCGCCATTGTTCATGAAAAGGTAACGGCCGCTGCAGTTGAGGTGGCTATGAAAGGACATGGAAGGCATTATTTCATGGCTTAGAAGCTGAAAGGTTATCTATGTTTTCCCACTACCAGCCTAGCAATACCTATCATTTTGGTAGTGCACATGTCTATTTGAGCCTCGCTTCAGGGTTGGAGATTGCCAATCTCGGCATTCATTCAACTGGCGGAGCTATTATACTCCTTTGTTAGAACCTACGCCATGATCTGGTATCGCCTGTATTTCAAAGTCGTCTACCATGGGTAAAGCGGTGAGGCCCATTGTTTATCGAGGGGTCAAGAACGTTCGGTCATAGGACAAGCAAGGTATTCCACTATCTCCCGACGCTTGACCAAAGAAAATGTGGTTCGTCGCGAGAGCGATGAAAGAGTTTTAAGAAAATCTGAACCCCTAACCCAATTCTGAATAAGAGACATTACACCCTCCATTGTCCTCCATTGAATGTCCCAGGCTTCGCAATACACCAGAAACTAGCGAAGGTACAATCCGCATTTAAATTTTCATGGGCGGAAGCAACCTGATACATATGAGGATGAAGAGATTCAGAACCATACTTTTGTGGAGAATAGAGAAATAATGGTCCTGGACCGACGTTGTCTTTGACAAGGAAAGTGTAATGAAATGCCTAAATCCGTACAGTACTGCTGCATATTCCATACGCCAAGGCATGTTGCGCTTGGGCGAGCCAAACATCTTTAGAAGGGTGTACTGCTAGTAGTTGTATTGTGTGTGACCGGTAGCACCTGGTAGTAGTGTACAGGAGTGGTAAATATCGTGATCCTGAGGGGTTATTGATGCGCATATCGGTATAAACATGACTCTCCCGGGTTGCATGGGTTCACATATGGTGTATACAGCCACTCCGAAGCTCTTCTGCGACACAATCTAGATATGCAATACGTAGCATCAGTCCCACCCAAAGTTTCTCGCGACCGAAATGAAGACATCTGGAAGCAGCAGGAGAATGGGAAAGAGAGTCATCGTTGGAACTTTCCTTTTCCCTACCACACCAATTTTGCAGATTGCCCTAGTGCTAGGAACTTGCCTAACGTATCAGCATTCAAATGACCTGGCCTCAAGCCTCACTTCATAGTGCACAATAGTAAAATATAGGCTGCGGGGCCTGTCGCGGTACGGTAAAATTAGTAGCCTGTTGATCCTGGTTGTCACAAAGATTAGGGTATATTTCAACCTTCCTATCTCATGTCATCTTAATCTTGTCGGAGTACTCCGCAGAATGTTGGTAAGGCGATAGCGCAACAAACCTCCTGCGCCACTTCGTTCTGGTTCCAGTTTTGTACAGTATATAATATGGTGCTTCGTACGCAGTCATTTTGCCGGAAGTTCTATCTTATTTTTTCACGTTGCTTCCTTCCTTCATTCATCAAACCCATACCAGTAACTTGGCGTTAAGCATTGTGTGCAAGATGGAAAGGGACATACGAACAAAGTTCAGGTACGAGCCTGATGGCTTCTCTTCATCTGCAGCAGATGCCGTGCCTCGAGACCGTGCGGATTTGCAGACTACTCATCAGGCTATTTCATCATCTTCGCTAGTACCAGTCTCACGAGAGTCCCAAAATCAGGCACGGCCATTTCAGCAACACTATGATAGGGATTCTCGTCTCGAAAGACTTCCACCTGAACTTCGAGATCATGTCTTATCATTTCTGGATCTGGACGGGCTCAAAGCTCTGGTTCAGGCTTCGCCTGTCTACCATGGTCAGTATCTCTCAAATCGAAAGCGTTTGCTCACCAGTTGTATGGATACAACATTGAAAACCGCCACTGTCGAAGCTATAGTTTGTTATGTCTCGGCACCACTCCAGTTTGCCGAGGAATACATGCCGAACGAGGTCCTCCATTGTCTGGGAGTCTACCAAGCGCGTCAAGCGTTGCCCCGGTATTCCATAATGGATGATAATCCCACCACGGATGAGATTGCAGACATGGCAGCATTCCACCTTGGGATTGTCCGGCCGCTCATGCAGGAATATATTGCTTGGTCGCTCGGCAATCTTGCCGGGGAGACTGGGACCAGGCCATATAATAGAACACTTAGCACAACCGAAGAGATCCGACTGCTGCGGTCCATGTATCGCTTTCAGCTCTGGAGTAACCTATTCCGCGTCTGCCCTGATACTCAAGACAGACACGGCGCAGGACTCGATGGGCGGAAGTTTATGGAGCTTCAGTTCTCTTTCTTTGAACCATGGGAAGTGGAGGAGATTTTCTGCATCAAAACCTTCGCAAAGGTGAAATTTGACCATATCTTTTCCAGGATTCATCGCGATGTGTCTCCCGGACCCCCTGCTATTCCTGGCCAGCGGCGGTCGATGCCGGCTGGCTTCTTTGATTTTGACCATCCCTGTAAGTTCAGACCCCAATTTGCTCCATTCCTAGCGTATTTCAGATTCAACGTTCTCCAGATTGATCCCAACTAATCACATCTCAATTCTATAGTTAAGAGGGAACGCCTCCTAAATGGCACAATAGCCCTGGGCCTCAACTTCCTCCACACGGTATTATTCGAAATCAAGGATCATGATCATCTTGTTTCGACTATGCGCAATCATATCGGACGCGAGACTTTCTGCTTCTTGAACAATGATGACGTAGGATTAGACGTCCAGAATAAGCGTCGGAGAAGCAAACCATCTCTTCGCGATAGAAAGCAAGGGCGACGGGATCCTTTACCTTTCCTTGGAGATGTAGTAGTGCCAAGCATAGACACGACCCACCCTCCACTGGCGTGGACCCTTATATGGGAAGGCACGTACAGCAGTCTGGTGGGGTACTTTATAACGGATAAGGTACGAAAATGGGGATACGTTATGTGGGATGCGGCCAGATTGGAGAAGACTGGAGCCAAAGAAGTACTGAAACGTCAGTGGGAGTCTGACTGGCTCGGCCAGGATCCGAGAGATCTTGCAATAACATAAAGTGCATAGTTATAGTTGAAGTTAAACATAGCTAGAACTACCTTATTCAACATTTAGCTTTCTGTAATATAATTTCGAATACGTATGTCATAATCGGCAGACGGCAGGTTCTGAATTATCCAATTTATTCTTTGATTTACAACCCACCTGCCCGAGAATTAAAAGCAATGTTGCATCAGCAACAAGACGGTAGAGCGTCGCTCTGACAATGCAACCTCGTATCCCACCTCATCTAGTATCCCCAACTGTACTACTTCGGGAAAGTGCTCAAGTAAGCAGCCCAGTTCATCCATTTGCTCTTATACCACATAACTACCCTCCGAAGGGGTAAAGGCACATGGCATCCCGCACTCACCCACGGATCCCCAACCCGTCACGGTCCATCCGATCTCTTGCCGGCGATCCAGACCATCCTCAACCAAACGTCAATGATCTAATCATGATCCATCTTGTCCATTACCCCTCATTTCTTTGTATCCACTCTAATCTCGTACAGTAAGTATATACTCCCCACCTAACAGCTCCATCACCACCGTCTTCCTTCACTCACCACCATCTCGAACATAAATATCCCAGCGTCCATCCAAGCGAAAGGAATGTACCGTCCCATCCTCCGACATCCCCTAAAACACCACCTTATCCAAACAATGTCTGCCCCCACTCAATACGACACCATAATCATCGGCTCCGGGCAAGGCGGCACGCCTCTTGCCCGAGCTCTCGCGCTCGCAAACCACAAAACTGCACTCGTTGAGCGAGACCATATTGGTGGATGCTGCGTGAATGATGGGTGCACGCCGACCAAGACGATGATTGCGTCTGGGAGGGTCGCGTATCTTGCGCGGAGAGGTGGGGAATATGGTGTTCATACACCGAATACATCTCGTTCTAAAGAGGGGGATAATGGTAATAAAGTGGTGATTGACATGAAGAAGATCAGGCAGCGGAAGAGGGATATTGTGGATTCGTTCCGGGCAGGAGGTGAGAAGAGACTTCGGGATGCGGGGGTAGATGTCATTATTGGAGAGGCAAGTTTTGTGGATGCGAAAACCATGGTGGTTATGGACGGGAGCAATGGGAATGAGAGGGTTGTCAGAGGGAACAGAATTGTGATTAATACGGGGTGTCGGCCTGGAAAGGTTATTCTTGAGGGACTGGAAAAGGTTCCGAGTGAAAAGGTGCTGAACTCTACATCTATTATGGAGCTGGGAGACGTGCCGCGGAATTTAGTGGTCGTTGGGGGTGGGTATATTGGGGTTGAGTTCGGACAGCTGTTTAAGAGGCTTGGGGCTAAGGTTACGGTGCTGCAAAGAGGAGAGCAGTTGCTTCCTAGAGAGGACAGGGGGTTGGCAGACATGTTGCTGAAGATATTCCGGGACGATGGAATTGAGGTTTATCTGGAGACCACTCCGGTCCGGATTGAAAATGTCTCTGAGGGTGTGTTCGATGTCGCAGTCGAGACGCGGCAGGGGAGGGAAGTCGTCAAAGAGGCCACGCATATCCTCTTTGCAAGTGGGAGGGTACCAAATACCGAGCGACTTAATGCTGCTGCTGCGGGCGTGAAGATGGATAAGAGAGGTTATATCTTGACAAATGAATTTTTGGAAACATCTGCGCCGTCAATTTATGCCATTGGAGATGTCAAGGGCCCGCCGTCCTTCACGCATATCTCATACGACGATTTCCGGGTACTCAGCCCTACATTGTTGGAGTCGAAATCTACATGTGAGCGGCTCTCGATTCGAGACCGAATTGTCCCGTATGTCGCCTATACGGATCCTCAGTTCGGTCACGTCGGGCTGCATGAGCAGGAGGCAAGGGAGAGGTTTCCGGGCCGGAAAATTCTGACTGCGCATATGCCAATGAGCTATGTGGCTAGGGCATTGGAAACAGATGAGACAAGAGGTGCCATGAAGGCTGTGGTTGACGGGGAGACTGGTCAGATCTTGGGATTTTCATGCTTAGGCGTTGAGGGCGGCGAAATAATGAGTGTTGTGCAGACGGCCATGATGGGGAATCTGCCTTATGAAAAACTGCAAGATGCTGTGTTTGCCCATCCAACTTTTGCGGAAAGCTTGAATAACCTGTGGGGGTTCTTGAAATGAGTACGTTGCTTTGGGTAGTTTGCCAATATAGTGTGAAACATTTGTACCCATTCCTCTACATACAAAGTGAGCACTCAATTATACCATTTGACTTGATAACGCAGTTTACTGTAACTAATTCGGGCCGATTGCGGATTCCTAAATCAAACCAGCGCATCATTGATCTTGTGATGTGTTGTTGACTCCTTGTTTGGGGCTGAAAACGGGTGGCTTCGGATCCTTCTGACTCACGGTAGCCTCCCCCGAGATCACCCGAGACTTTGGATATGTTGACCACAGCAACTATAAGTCTTATTTTAATTGAAATACCTCGAATTGTTTCCCCGTGTCCAGTACATGCTGATTATCAAGAAAAAACTTTTCCCCGTGTCCAGTACATGCTGATTATCAAGAAAAAACTTGCATACTCAAGTCCACAACGGATTTCCCCTATTCATCTCCACACCGCTTGGGTTGCCCGCTGCTATTTTACCTCAAACCGACGAAACCTTTCCACCACAACTTTCTCCAGCATACCATTTCCATTTCTCTTTATACCTTCTCATGGCAAACTTCATCCGACACCGACCCCTCCTAACAGGAGCGCTCACCATAGTCACCATCAGCAGCGCGGTCGCCTATCTCACCAAGCGACGACTCAACCAGTCATGCCCCACGATGGCAATAACAGAACTGCCAAAGGCAAGCGCATGTCGCAACCTGGTTGAAAGACCATCTGAGACAGTCACACTGACACCATATGGCGTCACTAAAACAACTCTATTATCATCATGGTCAGGCGGGGACAAGATATACTGGGTCCCATCCTTTGTAGCAGTTCAAGCAGAGGTGCCTATGTCACAGCTTTCGCAGTATGGGCCGTTCAGTAACGACGACAAGGATGACAAGAAGCAAGACGTGCATAGTCTATCGAAGAATCTGGTTGCTGCATTTATAGATGCACGCGCGACAGGTTTAGAAACGTCAGTTTTGGACAGAGAAGTGCCGCCGTTATCCTTTGCCACTTCTTCTCGTTTATTTGGACGCCCAAGCGAGATGGGAGCGTTCATGCTTGGGACATGGGATTCGGAGCGTGGGATAAATATTCGCCCATCGGACTTGCCTTCTGATGCTCCGAAGCCGGTCACGGAATTTTGTTCCAATGAAGAAGCTGTCAAGTATGGAGGTGCTCAGGATACCGCTGGTGCCGTGATGTACTGGATGTTTCCAAAAGCATTGGTCGAAGGAGTGGACAAGGCTGCATCATATGGCCTACCGTGGCGATCGATGGAGGGTGGATTTCAGGAGTTCATTGTTGAAAGGCTTTCGGATGACAAGGCGAGGATAACATATGTCACTGTTGAGTGCACGAATTTGCATCCTCTTGGCCAACCAGAACGGAACTTCAAGATGTTGCCCTGGCTGCTTTATGAGGCGCATGTTATTTATGCACAAATACTGTGGTCGAAGACTCTGAGACGGTTACAGCGATCGCAGACGACTGTAAAATAGATATGTTAAATGTGTTAATGATACCTCTCCGCTTATGACTAGTCCTCTTCACTTGAGAATCTTGTAAATACACACGAGACCATCTTCAAGTGTTGATGTCTTGGAAACAACTCTCATTTCGGAATGCACTCATCGTCTCTTATTCTTTGGCGCAAAAGATTTCTTTTTCAACCCGCCCCAGATTTCCCCACGCAAATTCAGTCCTTTTTGTTCAACCACCTTTGCAAAAATCCTTGTCCTTCTCCATCAGTTTAAGATCAATACCCAGAGCACTTGCTATGAGTGGAGCAAGATCGTGTGCCGCGCAGACTCGGAAGTCGCCACTCTGAACACGCTTCTTTTTCCGTCTTTCCAGTCGCTCATTTAAGCCTTCCTCTAGCGTTTCTGAGAATGTCTTTCCGCTGGTATCTGTAACAATGTTCTTAATCTTTTCGGCTTCTTCTGGGGAGAAATATGGTTTGCCGATGTAAGACGGGTCCGTGACCTTATCCAAACGCTTCTTGGACGAGTCGTTATTGAAGTTCTTCAAGTCGAAAACGAGGACGTGGACTCGGTACCAAAAAGTGGGGGATACGGATGATCCTTTGAGGTCTGAAAGGGTGACTAGTGGTGTTGGTGGTGAGTTCGGTCTGGCATGGATGTCCGTCATCTCGAATGGTTCTGGTGGAGTCGCCATGGTGGAAATGTGGACAGTAAGTTCGCTTTCAAGGGTATTAGACTGCAGTACTTACTATATGAAGGTATGTAAGTTCTTTCAAAAAATCAAAGTAGTAGTAACACGACTCTGCTTCTGTCATATATACGTCGTTCTTTGGTGGCATTATGTCACTTCTACGGGATATTTTTATTTTCCACAATGAGGCAGATTCTGAAGGCAATCCGCCCAGCGCATTACACAAGTTTAGCAACAGACTATCTTTGTCAGTTTACTGTAACCTTCAATTCGGATACAGAATACAAGACAGCTTTTTTTCAAACTTGATCTAGTATGCTACAAACCATTTGGTCTTGGATGATGTTCATTTCAATTGTGGCATAAGCGAGATCATCTAGTGAATGCGGTGAACTAATATATATAACCTAATAGTACCAGGTCAACACAATGCCATCTGTCAAGTCGCCAATCAGTAGTTCTACTTATAACCATATCATTCCCCAACCGACGGTCCTCCAAATCAGGTCACTGTGACCGAACTTTCGGAGATAGTGACCGGCAGAAGCCCGGCTATTAATTCCGCCGATGCTTGGAAGTTGCTTTCATACTGAGACAGTGACTTACCAATTCTATTTTCGATCAGATTGGTGCACATCACTTCTCTTCAGATAACCGATCAAATCTTAATCCTCGGTCCCGTAGCCACCCATGGGTCCCCAATACTATCGCAAAATCAGACAACGCAGGCCGTGGAGACGACGCATCAACTTATTGATGATCAAGAAAGTCTCGTACCTGCATTTCGTCCAGCTCCTGACCTTCCGAAACGCCCAGCGCCCAATTAAGGTATTGTTCCACTCCCCACTACCATCATATCATGCTCATCTGGCCATCAATCAAAGAGTGGAACGCTGAAGATTGCGGAGGCCAAGCTTGTATGAGCGTGGCTGTGCTTGGCTTTGATTCCGCATTCTCTTGACATTGCTTGGCAAGGCGGAGATAGTTTCCTTCCTTTTGTCTCCTGGGCCGACCTGGCTACTATAAAGCTACAGGACATCATGGTAGGAGTCACAGGAATCAGGCAGAGTCTTCCATTCATCTTCTATCTCAACTTGAGACGACAATGTCCGCTGCCCTCTTCCTCGGCCTCCTAGGCCACACAGCTCCCCTGGCTGCCGAAAACACGAGTACCCCAGGCCTCGAGCTCGCATACTCCCTTGAGCGCGCCACCCAGGGCCTCAGTATCTCCGAGGATGGCCGTAAATCCATCTCCCAGCGTTACTCGACCACTCTGCCCCCTCAAATTGTCGAGCTCCTGGACGACAACTCCACTGTCCTTTATTCGAACACCGCCTGGAACTCCTATAACTCCAGTGACCCTACCTCCGACCCATGCAAGACCTTCCTCGGCATTGACGGCTCCCGTATGGGCCCCGATGGTCGCTACTGGACTGTCAACGGCTCCACCAAGCTCGTCGGCGCGAACCTCACCAACGATGCCGTGGACAAGCTCTATTACCTCGACGCCATGAAAGCATCCGACAGCGGCATTGACGACGTCCGCTACAACGCCGCTGGTGATGTGGCCTACATGAGTGATACTGCTGGTGCCCTCCTCGTCATGAACATGACTACGGGCAGATTGAACAGCAAAACTTTATGAATAAATATTTGCCGAGACATCCTCACCTCTAGCCTACATCATTCGATATATGTTGAAACATATAGAGCTATATTAAGTTCTTAGTCTGTTCGTTGACTAATCTGGGGAGCTTGGGACCCATCTGACAAGATCTGATCAGGATACTGGGCAAAGCCGGGTTTTGGTCCATTTCATTACTGTCTGCATCGCGCACGGACAAGGGTTGGCCCAGGCATCAGACATGAGGCTTCGGTACTGATAGATGGTGGAATACCACATTTAGCGTCGGTCATGCATCAGCCTAGTCCAGACGCGCTCATGAGGGGTCAAGTAAGCACTAGTAAGCACCTTGTAAGACCATGTATCAGCCTTGTTCAATTTGAGACCGTTGCCTTTCTTTGTTTGCTTTGTTTCTGATATCTCTGATTCCTCCAACGCATTCTCCCTAACCCCACACCGGAAATGGGGAGAGTCTCATGGCCAGTGGTACCATCACATAGCCTTGTAGGGGGTAAATTGCCCGCCGTAGGAACAACCATTTATGACCACCTCAAGTAGGCAGCCAGTAGACAAGGCTGTGCGTATAATGAGCCAATGGGATGTGAGTATTGTAAGCAGAGTAAATTCCCATCATTCAGCTACTTACTCAGGCTTCTTTCTTTCTGTCTGCCGCACGTTTTCTCATTCGCATCCCCGATCTTCCCACCCACCACTCGCTTCTCATCGTTGACAAACCCTCCCAACCCAACTCCGTTGTGACCCCAAGATAGCAGTCAGTAACTTAACCGATTTTTTCCGCAAAATCTCTATGCTTCGATGTATTATTTGACAACCCATCACGATGATTTTTGAAGCGCTGGGCTTGCTCGCACTCGCCTACCTGGCGTGGAGCATGGTGACACTGGAGATCAACTACCGTCGTGCTTCAAGCATGGGAATCCCCTTGGTACGCCTTTACATCGACCCCCAGAACGTTCTCTGGATGGTCTTCGAACTATTGTCTGGCCTTGGCTGAACAGGCTTCCCATCAATTGGCGCAATTATAGCTTCGGTCGCTACTCCCGTCGGGGCTGGTACTTTGCCGATCGCGGGGAGTCCCATCAACGCTATGGCCCCATGTGGGCTCTGGTCACTCCTCGCGATATCTACATCAATGTCGCCGATACAGATGCAATCCATGACATCTTCCAACGGCGTACGGACTTCATTCGACCAAGTCAATTGTATAGTACGTCTGATGTACTCTGTCATGATAGCGAAATTGCGTACCGAATTGCTAACCTGGGTTTCACATTTAGAGGTACTCGAAGTGTACGGACCATGCATCTCAACAGCTAGCTGGAATGACTGGCCGCGGCACCGAAAGGTCCTAGCAACACCTTTTAACGAAAACGCCATGTCCTTTGTCTGGAATGAAAGTGTAGAGCAGACACGCCAGATGCTGCAGGTCTGGGAGTCTTCTGTCGATGGCCACATTCCCAGTGTTGCAAAAGACCCGCGGACCCTCTCGTTAAATGTCCTTGCCGCAACAGGATTCCGCAAATCGTTCCCTTTTCAAAGTGCTAAAGATCATGAGGTGAAGTCTGAATTACCTGCCGCCTCGGGAGATGGATCAGAGGGCTACCGCGATGCACTCCAGACCGTGCTGGATAACTGCATCCTTCTCATGGTGATGCCTCGGAGATTACTCACCCTGCCTTTCGCACCCAAGTCATGGCATCATCTTGGCAAAGCAGCCACCACTTTCAAGAAGTATATGGTCCAAATGCTGGACGAAGAAACGAAAGCATTGAACACCGGAAGGGCAGGTAGCGGAGGCTTGATGACTTCATTTGTGCGCGCCATGGATTTGAAGCAAAAGGTAGACGGGGAGCAAAAAGCAAATACAAGTGGCTCACCTCCCAAAGGGCTTACGGTAGACGAGATTTTTGGAAACATCTTTGTCATTAACTTTGCGGGTCATGATACAACCGCCAATACGTTGAGCTTTGGCTTGCTGTTGCTTGCCGCGTATCCGGAAATCCAGGACTGGGTCGCTGAGGAGCTGAAAGGACTTGATGAAGACAATATCAAGGAGCACTATAACGAATTGTTTCCTCGGCTCCTTCGGTGTCGCGCTGTTTTGGTATATCCCCCCTTTCTTTCCATGAATTACCTACAGAGCTTCCCGTTCTCCTTCCTATTATTTTCTTGTGACTTTTCACTAACCCTTGATCCCATCCCACAGCTTGAGACACTCCGCCTCTTCCCACCCATCGTGTCACTACCAAAATGGACCAACGATAAAGCCCAGCTACTCAAGTTAGGCGACAGAGAAATCATGATACCTCCCCACGTGGGAGTCCACCCCAGCCTTCTCGACATGCACATCCACCCCCAGCATTGGGAGGACCCCTTGACATGGAAGCCGTCCCGCTGGATAACCAAATCAGCTGCGTCTAGCGATGTCTCAGAAGAGATCATCACCCCATTCCGGTCGACCTATTTCCCATGGTCAGACGGGCCTCAAAACTGCCCAGGGAACAAGTTTTCGCAGGTTGAGTTCGTGGCTGTCATGGCGGCCCTCCTCCGGAGTCATCGGGTGCACCCGGTTGCCAACCCTGGAGAAAGCCCGGAGGAGACTCGCGCGAGAGTCTTGGCGACCACGCAAGACGTGGATTTGCAATTGCTCCTTCGTATGACAGACGCAGATCAGGTGCGTTTGGCCTGTCGTCGGGCGGCCTGAGGTTTGCCTGGTACAGACGTAAAATTTGTGGGGGTGGCGTAGTCGAAAATGAATCATATCGTATATAGCTGGCGGCCTGCCTTGGGTGGAGGTATCTTTGACCCCTATGTCAAATATAGCAAATATAGATTGCGTGTTATTGCAATCATTATGTAGGGTAAAATATGTGATTGTTAAAATTGAGCACATTAGCAGATCCAACTAGTCGTTACGCTTATTGGAGAGCATTACCAGAGGAAAGGAAGGGGGGAAAAAGGCCTCAAGGCAAGAAGATCTTCAAAGTCTGAAACTGATTATCCACTATCCAAGGCATAGCAGACAAACAGATAATTACTTGTAGATCTCCTAAAAGCCAAAATCGCGTCGCGTCGCATACTACTACTCCTTGCCTCCACAGGTTGATTCTTGGCTTCAATTCAAGGTTTCAATTCATATTCTCGATATACGAATACTTAGAATGAATAGACCGTAGAACTTGATAGTGTGACTGTACTTTTGATGATAATTAATTCTATATCAAGACAGTAGTGACATTGGATATAACGTATTTGCATCCCAGCTAACGGTCATAAATCCGCCCCCCAATAGAACACCAAAGCGCAGTGTACCATGAGATAGTATCAGGCCCAGGCTGTCAGACGATTCTCCGGCACAGCCCTACTTGACCACATGGCAGCAGCGATGACGCGGCATGTTACGTAACTTACGTATGGCCATTTTCTACATATTGTACAAGGGCGTATGGTAGGCATAAGCAGTGGGTGATTCTTAACAGACGCACGGTCCGTTCCGGGTCCTTGAAATCAACACGCAGCGCTATTTGACCTATGCATGGTGCCGATCTCAATATACGTCTTAGTGGATGCTTATCAAAGACTGGGCCTTTAGTCGGCTGTGTAACCTCTCATATTCGCTGCAATCTACCCACGCCACCAGCCAAGGAACTGTTTCACTCATTGATATCTTTCGTTTATTCTCCTGAAAATAATTCCCTTCCACCCCAATATATATCCAATGACCCGAGCCTAGCATAACAATCATCATGATCACAACCACCGTCAAGATGGCTGCCAATGAATACTCCGGCGGCTACGCAAGTGGTAATTCACTGGATATACTGGTAGAAAAAGCATTTGCCCGATGGCCGCTTTAACCGCCGTACTGGAAGGAGGCTTGGCGTTGTTATTAGCTGTTTGTTCATTATCTCTCCCGCAAATTTCCTCTGATTTCCGCGCCTTGGACGATGTGGCCTGGTATGAGTCCGGCTATTTGCTTACAGTCACCGCAGGCCAGTCAGTCTGTGGAGGCTTCTATCGATGTGGAGCTTGAGGCCCCAACTCCGCATTTTGACTCCCGCAAGTTTTGGTCTGGGAACGCAAGCCAGTGACAAAGGTGCCTTTCCGTATCTACCGTCATTGCTAGCTGTGCTCTGTCTTGATAGTGGGTAAAGGTCTGGTTCGTTCATTGCCACTGGGACCAACTCTAGACAATTGGGAACTTCACACCAGGGGAGACCTAACGATTACACCTTCAAATTCTATGAAATATTGAGGGGGTAAAAGAACAAAAACATACAACAGAAGGGATTCGCTGGTGGTCACCCACCCAACTACTAACCTCCCGGCGTGTGGCTTGAGTACGGCTGAGCGGACGGGAAGCCCTATTTTCCACACCCTATGGTCGTATGTGCTCGGGTTCCTTCGCTACAAACACATAACCTCCCCTGGGAGTGATCTGGTCGTTAATTCAGGCCTTTCATTTGATGTCTAGTCTTAGTTAATATGACTATACAGTACAGACAGGGATATTAGTACGTAAAATGATAAAGGTGAGCAAAAAATAAGTGTTTACTGGGGTCAAACAAATGATTTGAGATAGAGCCAGAATAATCGTCCACGGATACCTTATATAGTCCAAAACTAAGTTGCGATATTAAGCGTCAAAAAGACATCTCTAGGCAAGATGGCCGAGTTGGTCCAAGGCGTCAGGTTAAGGTCCACCTTAATAACATAGCTTCCCCAAGCTTCCTGATCATCGTAAGATGGCGTGGGTTCGAATCCCACTCTTGTCATGCTTTTTGGCGGTGTCGGTACAATGATAGACGGGTTCCACTGGCGGCACTGGATTGAGGATAACTCCGGGATTTGTTTTTTTTTTTTTTTTTTGTTTTTCTTCTTTCTTTCTTTTTCATGAATCATTACGGCACAAGTAACAATTGAGATAGTCGTTGCGATTCAATAGCAGGCGTGGGTTTAATATCAACAAAATTCTCCTCATATGCAGATGCGGGTTATTCCTCCACAATATATTTGGCTATCATGTTCATCGTAGGACTATCAGCATTCTAAATGACCCAGAGACCAGGCTTAATCGAAGGGAGCCCTAGAGCCTTGCATAGTAAGCGCCCGTAGGTCCTGATCCATGTTGAATTCCTTTGAGTTTCTGTACTTGATGCTCATGACAGTGACATGATTGTTCTTCCCGTATTTATTCGCATTTGACACCCTGTCAATATATAGAAACTCGTACAGCCAGTCTGGGGCTTGGCTATCGTAGTATATATCCAGATCCGCAGCCATATTGGGACCGTCATACTCACTTCTCTTCGTATATCGCATTACCGTATCGACGGTCTGTAGCCTGAAGTACTCTTTGCAGGAATTCATATACCCACTTCGTATTTGGTGTCCCTTTGGCTTGCATACGCATGGATTTGTGGTGTTAACTTCGATATTGGGTCATCTCAGCGGACGGGCAGTATCCAGTCCAGCCAACATGGGAGCCAGCCGGGCTGTATGATGGCAATATCAATGAATATCTCCTTGTAGGCTACCTGATTAAAGAGCTGGAATTTGTCGAACCGAAAGCTCGGCACAACACAAAAAGAAAGCATTCCCCCAAACTAGTTTCAGATGCTAATTTGAAACAGCGCCTAGTCTCAACGGTTCAGAACCTTAGATCTATCTTGCTGACTTTGCAACTATATAGTGATCATACTTTCTACTAGTTAATATGTCTGTCTGTACTTATCACTGCTTGGAGCTGAGAGAACTTGTGATCATTTCCCCGACACCCTTGCCATGCGGCACCATCATCCAGTCTATTGGCGGAACAAAGCTTTTTGATTGTATAACGTCTGATGATCCCATAGTAGGAAAGCTACAATGCCTGACAAACGTAGCACGACTGGGATGACCCGACAGGCCTTTATTCGGAGAAATGTCTCATAGAAAACCTCAGACAGAGGCATTGACATGTATCAAGCCACAAGTGAATCCACTCCTCCATTTCAGTCAATACTGCAACATGTTACCTGACCCCACCCATCCTCCCCTCCGCTCACCCAATCTATCATGGCCCGATCTCGCAGGTAGGCTTCTCACTCCAGACCGTCTTGGCATACACCTGCAAGAAATCCCTCGTGGTAAACGACTCATCCATGTAGGGCTTGACGACGGGGTCTTTGTCTGTGAGACCGAGGAACTCTATAATCTTTTTTTGTATGTCACTTGTAAAGACCACGTCCACTGTCTTAGTCTTGTTTTCATCAATGTTGCCCTTGACTTGCATATAGTATGGATGTGTTTCATTATCCCGGCGTGGGATGTGCAGGGTGTCATCGCCGCAGTCATCTGGGTTGACAGAACAATCACCAAAATCATCTTTTGTAACATGTCCAGGGTTGAGGTTGTCCGGGTCACTTGCGCGACTGGTAAGCACGCTTTGCTGAGAAGCGCCCGCGTATTGACTGTTAGAAAACCTGACGCTGTTACTGCCGCAATCTTCTTTCGGCTCCTCATAATCTGGATCAGTTCCCTTGTACTCGTTCAGTTTTACCTGAAGTTGCTTTGTTACGTCATCATAGGGAACATCCGCAATATAGTAAAAAACGTCCGCGTACGAGCTAACAGTAAACGCGTCCCCAACAGTGAATGGACCCTGGTATAAATCGTAACGTATACCGTAGGTGTTGAAGATGATCAATCTGGCAGAATCGGAATTGTTCCCATGCACGGTTGCATTCAAAGCGGATCTCACTAACGCATAAATGTTATCCGGACAGTTGTATGGACTCGACGAGATATAGTATGATTGGGGAGCGCAGCCAAGTTCTGTAGTTAAGTTCCATTCCCCCCGAGCGCCCTCGATATCATTTGTGACATACTGTCCGGTAGGTGTATCAAAGTTAGCAGGGACGTCAGGGTCAGTTGCCCCTAAAGCATGGTACGCGAACGTCTGGCGGTTGAAATCGAGGTAACGACGGTCAAGGCGAACTGATTTAACCGTAGTAGAAGACGATGCTGAACTGTGCGGTGAGCACGTCCTTGTGGGCATGGGAACATCCGTCAATGTTTTAGATCCGTTCCAAGTGTCTGAGGGCGCCACATCGCTGAGAGCAAGCCATCCCACTGTGTCAGAGTACCGGCCAGATTCGAGGCCAGACGATCCGCTGTCATAGCATGTGAAGTTGCGCACATGTGTATGGCCACCTAGGATCTGAAGGGGAATCTCAGGCTTGTTCTCTCGGAACCAATCCTTCATGCAAATCAAGGGATTTTGATCTCCTTGATATTTGGTCTTTACTTTGCAGCTCTGGCCAATGTCGGCGTGTCCAATAAGCAGGTATAGATCGGCTGGCTGGCTGAGTGCATCCTTGAACCAATCCTGTTCTATTATTTCCTCAGATCCCTGGACATGAACGGTTGTAGGGGCCTTGAAGTCCTGGACAGTGAACCCGAATGCCATGATCCGCAACCCGTGCTTTGTAGTTATATATCGGTATTTTTCTCCAATGGATGTATTTTTGCCATTCTCTTCCACGAGGACGTTGCTCGTTAGATAACGTTCAGTATAGTAGTCCGCTATATCCACTTGTATCCTTTCAGTAACGTTTGGGTCATAGAGATCGTTGTTACCAATGGTAAGTAGGTCATAGTCTAAATAGCGGAAAATCGGATTAGATATCTGGCCTTCAGGAGACGAAACATCACTAAGGCCAT